TCCCAGGCTCTGGGAACAGATGGGAGCGACTATAATCATAGGCAAAAAATTGCAACACATTACCAAGTTAGGTGAGAAAATCTTAAAAAATGCAATTTTTTTTAATTTTTTAATTGTGAAATTTAATTTATAAATACATATAATAAATAATAAATTTTAATTTATGAGTTATTGACGACCTGAAAAGTTCAATTTCCATTTGATTAGATATGTCTAATTTTTTGTTTTCACTAAATATATATATTACATTCCAATATAAAATTAGAGCACTTATGATAGCACACTGAATAAAGACAGAGTACAATCTGTTATTATATATTAAATAAATAAAATCTTTCTAAATTTGATTATGAGACATTTACATTATTTTACTATAATAAATATCATTCACAAAAAAGTTATACATGTGCATACATATCTAAAAATATATCAATAATATCTATATGTACCACACATACATACACACACACTCACACACACACATATATGTATAATATATAATATGAGTATATATAAAAATTCCTGTCATTTCTATTTCTTGTTACAATATTATTTTTGTTTTCAGTGCAACAAATAAATCAAGACTGAAGTATTGCATATTTTTTCACTACTTATTATTTTTTGTTATGCTTGCTAAACTTTCTGCAGATATATTAGATTATCTAGATATATTCATCTTAGAAGTAGAAGAGCTACAAATACCACAGGTATAATAAAAAATGACTTAAGCAATACTATAAATGTAGAATTTAGATTATGTTTTATTTTGTTGGATATTTATTTAAAATAAATAAGTTTAGGAGAGAAAACTCTAATAACAAGTATCTTTTATTGTTGCTCAATTTTACATTTATTGAAAATGTGATATATTGTACATATTTTTTCATTCCTAATAGAGATCATTGATCATTTAATTGATTTATTCTTCTTTCTATTTTAGCCATTATGGTGGGAATATATATGGTGCACTAGTTTGTTATTATCTTTTCTTGCTCTCTCAGCAATTAAAAAAAATAAAATTAGAACATTGCAAAAATATACGATAGGTATCGTTTTATTAGGTCATGGTCCATTGATATATGCTACTGTATATTACTTTAAGGATGTGTGGACATACTTAACTGTAGGTGAATCTGAAGATATTTATTTGTGGCAGGTATGATTATTTTTGGAATCATCAACTTTATTTGGTTAAATAATTTATCAAATGGAATTATCCACAAATTTAATTTTTGATATTTGCAAGGATTTTATTTATTCATTCATTAAGGAAAAACCCTTTTGGTTTTATATTTTAAGCAAATAAACTCCATACTAATGTTACATAATTTATTTTTCAGGGTTTACCATATGGCATACTTTGGTATGCATTTATTCTTCTAGCCTCACAAGTCCATTGTTTCTCTTTATACTTTTCTTGGAATCTGTTGGTTGCCTGGAAAATACGGAGTGCTAAAAAAATGGACTAAACCCTATAGTCAACTATGGACCTTGTCAAGTTTGATAAGTTATAGATATATTTCGGAATGTGAGCATTCATATTTATGTGGTTAATATTAAAAAACAAAGATATATAATTGTTATAAAAAATGGCATTCAAAATGTGTGAAAAATATATGTAATATGTATATAAGAGAGAGAATATCAATGTGTACTTTTGTATATAAGAAAAAATATATACAAATTAATTAGATTTATATTTTTTCAAACAATAAGATTTATGAGTTCTTATTATGAGAGTATGTGTCATATTTCTCTGTCAAACTAAATGATATCTTTATACAATTTTTTCATTATCATGACAGAACAAATAAATTCTGCTATGATGATAAAATATGAGGCATTGATATTTTATCAGTGCTTACTAATGTCTATCTCGCATGACTATCATTATTACTATACAACCATAATGCAGCAGATATATCGATTAAATAGATTTTTAATATAAAAATGCAATATCATTATAGAAACAATTTGAAACATTTTTCCCATAAACGATATCTATTTATAAACAATATATATCAGGTATCACATATTTATTCTTGATTACAAATTATTCGTTAAAAAAGAAATGATAAATCGATATTCAAATGCATTGAACATCATTGTTGCTTTTCTTATGTGATGGCAGCTATTTGTTTCACTATACTTACTTTTTAATTAGTTTGCTTTATTAAAAAATTGTTTTTTGGTAATGTAAATTTAACTTATGAACATTTATTTTGTCATTTCATGTTCTTTTGAGCATCTATTCATAATATTTATCTAACTTTATATGCTTCCTCGTAATGGAGTCTATATACTCACTTTTGAATTAAAAAGAGACTTCCTAAAATATTGCACTCTTTTTAAGGTTGATGTACAAACTACTTATGGTTAAAATGAGATATGCACTAGTGGATATGAACTAGTAGATATACACTAATATAGCATAAACATAATAAGTATATAAATTAGTGTGATTAGTGTATAGACTTAGAATTAGTGCATTATATATTAACCATAAGCATCTATACATTGTACATCAAACTTAGAAAAAGAGTGCAATGTAAAAGTTATCTCTTTTTTTATTTAACTAAGTGAGGATATAGACTTTTATTGCAGAGAAGCATACGAAGTTAAATAAACACTACAAATAGATGCTTAAAAGAATATAAATGAAAAAATAAATGTTTACAATTTTAATTTAAATTATTAAAAATACAATTCTTTAATAAAGCAAGCTAACAAGTATAAAAACAAAATAATTAGAAGAGACAGAAATAGTTAAAAATATATAATATAGTTTTAAAATTTAAAAAATATAAACATTTTTAAATCAATGTGATAATTTCACAAAATTATAAAACTTAAAAAGTAATAATATCAAGTTATTATATTGCCAGTAGGATACATGAAATTTATACTTATTTTACATGCTTATTTATTTTTATTGCAGAAATCAAAGATGCATATTTATATACATATTTGATTACATATTTGAAAAGTTTATACAAGTAAATATACAGGGTGTCCCAGATCATTGGGGACAATACTCGTGTGCAGATAGGGCAGACCAAACTGAGTCGAAAATCCTTTATCATATTACCGGGTGCACGTCGGTGAGCCGCGCGCCTGGTAATATGCGGCAGCGCACACTTCACGGCGCGCGGCTTACCGACGTACGCCTGGTTAAAGGTTGGCGCTGAATGACCAGACTTTACTCAATAATAACTCCTTTATTAAGCGTTATAAAAAAATATGATAGAGGACTTTTCGACTCAGTTTGGTCCGCTCTATCTGCACACGAGTATTGTCCCCAATGATCTGGGACACCCTGTATATATATGGAATCTGTAATTTTACTAAAAGAATATACACAAATATATATAAATATCAAAAGATTATTAACGTAAATCATCATATACACTTTTTAATTTAGCTTTATACACAAGATAAATTAATATTCCAGTCAACACTAGAGATCCTTAAACAGAAATCGGACAACGTGCCGTCGTGGAGTGAAACCGGATATGACATTTTTGATGGCGGTTTATTTTGATTGTTGAATAAATACAAGAATACGATATATATTTTTCGTTTGAAGAGCTAACTATATAGACGATCGGTTAGTTTAGGTATATATCTTTCTCTCTCACTTATATATATCTTTCTTTCTCACACTTCCGGTTTCATCCCAGGCGATGGATCCAATAAGAGATCGTTAACGCGTTAAGGATCTCTAGTCAACACAAGCCAATAGCAACATAACACATCAATGTTATAATTTCCCATTCAGCAATGTAACATGCATGTGTATAAAAACTTTATTTTATGTATATATTAATGTGTATCTTATAATCTTAACATATTAAAAAAGCCATCAATATAATAATAATTAGCCTATAGTAAAATTATACTGTAAAACAAATATTTTATAATAATAGAAATAATAATAATAATAATAATAAATTATAAAAAAAGATAACACATATTTACAAGAAAAAGAAATACCCTTGTATAATAATTGTTATTTGTGGTAGACTAATGTTTTACACACACTTCACCAATACATTTCATAGATATTTTTTTATTATATGCAAAGAGAAATAGAATTAAGAACAATGAAACAAATATATTTCCGAGATTTTATTTGCTTTTTTCATTTAAGAAAAGTGACTATTACTAATCCTGTGCAAAAAAGTTTTCTGAAAATTTTTGATAAACAAGAAAAAATATAGTATAATTACAACTTATATCAAAGTTTATTATTTCTATATTGATCAGTAATATATAACGATGTCATAAAATAAAGTATAAAAATCTTTAATTATTCGTTATTAAATTTTTTTCTAATGTCTTGAATCTTACTAGATTTTAATTAATGGCGCATTCACAGTTAAAAATTAGTTATTGTAATAATCACTATAAAAAATGTCAAACTATTTTTTTAAGATTACATTTATAATAGCATGTTGCTATATATCCACTCTTTTATTTTTAATAACAATGATAGTGTTGACCAACTTATTCTCTATATATTAGTACCAAACAAACTTCTTATTTTTAACACTTTTCTTTAATTTTTATAGTACATGCATTTTATTCTAATAGTACATGCATGAAATAAAGATGTCGTTTTGATTATACATATAATGATACATTTATTTTATCCAAGATGTCTTGGATAGTCAAGTGGTTAATGTAATATAGTGGGAAAGCAGCACAGAAAAAAGTATTAATAGGATATTAAGAAAAGGGTATTTTTTGACTAGTTAAATAAGTAAATTTAAGATATATAGTATACAAATATTTAGATTTCTATTCATACTCATAGCTATGATCACAAAATTCATCTTCAGATGTCGCATGAGATTCAAGTATTTGTCCAAGTGATATTTCCGTGGGGTCAGGTTCTTCTTCATCAAAATAATCATCATTATCATAAACTGTAACAAGAATGAAAAACTAATAAAATTAATACCTAACACTACAATAAATATCAATCATAAAATAGAAATAGCCTAAAAATGAAAACTAGAAAAAGATTACACAACCATTTTCGGACATATCTGCTGTAATTACATCTTCCGAATTAATTTCTTTTTTCATAGATTCTTCATCCTCTTTTTTTGTTGTTTTATATGCTCTCTTTAATTGCTCAGTATTGGGTTTAATAGAGCGATATTTTTTCGATAGTGGAACCTCTGCAGTCTTCAGTGTAGAATTGCTTGTTACTCTATTTGAATGTAATAATTATTATACATTTGTCAATCGATTAAAATTGATTTGGCCAAAATTGTAAAATAATATGTACTAACGGGTTATTGACAGTTGCATCGTCTAATTCTGACATGTTTGTTGCAAGTAACTCTTGATTGCTTTGTTGTTGATTATTTATACTTTTTAACACTTCATAATTTATCTTGGAGGATATTTTTTTTTCTTGCAGCATTTTTTCAATTGCTTCGCCTAAAGGAAAGAAGATATAATAACTCAATAGTATATATACAATAAATGTATCAATATATGAAACAAAAAATTAAAATAAACTTACCAGCAGTATTTGCAGGCGTTTTGTTTTTCCTGGAAACTGTCTTTCTTCTTTTCTTTTCATTTTTACCTTCTTCCTTCTCCTTTAAACGCTTTTCTTCTTTTTCCTTTTGCTGAACAAGATAATCAGCATTTACTTTGTTCCAAAGAGCAGATTTAGATTGCGATTCTTTTTCCGAGAGAATGTAACTATCTAATTCCTCGTCATCAATGTCATTCGTATAAATTTCTTCAGAAGACTAACAACAAAATTTCCTAATTATTTCAAATGTTCAATACATAATGTTATAGATTAACTGACAATATATAAGGACGAATTTTGTATTTTATACATTTAAAACATAAAAAAGAAAACAAGAAAAAAGTACTTGATTATGTAAAACTAAAAATCTAATAAAATACTTATAGTTTATAATAAGATTATAGTTTATAATTATAATTGTAATTTGAATTCTCAGAACACTTAGAAAATAAAAAAAATACTTACATTTTCTAAATTATTATCTTTTTCTTTTGGTTCATTTGGACGATTGTTCGTTAATATCATCGACGCTATATCCGGACCTGTACACGATTCATGAAATTACAAATTTGTATTAAACTGATAAAATATAAAGTAATATAATTTTATATAGATGCTTACCTAACTTTTTAATAAGTAAACTATTACTATTACTCTCATCTATTACATCATCTCGAAAGTTTTCATCAGGATCATCGATATGATTCTCAACATATTGTTGGATTATGTTCAAATTACTCTCCTGAATAAATCTATCTGCATCTTCGTTCTCTATAGAAGATACTGTAAAAGATGTTCGTAAGAGATGTTGTAAGATGTTGTAAGAGATACCTCTATTATAGTTATAGTTAAGTTATATTAAGTCTATTAGAGTTATAGTATAGTTATATTAAGTCTATTAGAGTTACATAATATATTATGGGAAATATTCATTTTCACATAACCAGGTTTAAAAGACTTTCGAGTGACACATTTTGTCAAAGTCATGATCCTGACTTAGCAAACAGCGTTATATTAATGTTATATAAGTACAATATAGAATTAAATATTACAGATAATATTATACAAGTGTTACCGGTAAGCTACTGTGGTTAAATTGTAATTCCCCAATTATAAATGTGTAATATAACATATATATAACATGTGCAACACATGTTATATCGTTCTTACATCGTAGTTACCAGAGATGTGCAAAATGAGTTTCCAAATCCATTTAAAATAGAAAATGGAAAATACATATTTTTAAAATAATTTTTTAAAATAGAAATGTTTTTAAATATTTATATTCTTATATTTATTTATATTTAAATTCTTATACTTTTTTTACTTCATATTTATTATATAGATTCTATTTATTAGATTATATCTTACTATCTCTATTCTTTTTTCTTACATAAAATTGCGTCTGTATTTTAGCATCATTGCGTAGTACATATACAGAATATTGACTGTATCATACCTCTTGTGTGCAGCTAAAGTAGGTGAAGCCGAGAAAAATCCTTTACTATTTTGCGATTTTCGTAATAATTATTGAGAAATTAATTAAAAAAGATCGACCAATTCGCGCGAGTATAAGCGCGCGGTGAGAAAAGACCGCCTAAAGATACGCGGTCGCTAGACGTGCGACGAAATTTGGGAGGAGCGCTCTATAAATGACAAAAGTTACGTACGAGCGGTACATAACGCTGGATTCTCGAGTTCGTTTTGTGCCTCAATTACGCTTTAGCTTTTATTTGTCATCTTATTTTTTATTCCTTTCCTTTTAAATATATTTATTTTATGTATTTATAATTATATTATATACAATTATATCTATACAAGAAAAAATTAGTTCTTCTTTTGTATTTATAAAATAATGTACGAGATTACAATTACCATTCTTCCGTTTCCTTGCTTTCCCTATTCTATAATCTTCCAATTGTTTATCAATTTCTGCTTGCAGTTCGCTTATTTCCACGTCTATGTTTTCTAACTAAAAAGACACATTTCTAGAGTAGAAAAATTATATATAAGATTGTCTTAAATTTAATTTTAGCTTTTTCAAGTAAGAATATTTTTCTTTCAAGTAAGAAAGTAAAAAATACAATTTAAAGAAAAAACATCATACCCTTTGTAAACGTTCTCTATCCTTCTTACGTGCTGCTTTAAATGCTGGAGGATCTTCCTCTTCTAAATCCACTGTTTCAAATTCATCTAAAGTCAAAGCACTAGATGGTGTGTCGCCAAACTCCATTAACCTACATATAAAAAAAAAATCTATTATTACCATATATGTATATGTGCTACCAGGACAGAAATAACATATAAATATATCGAAAATACATTTTACCTCTTACGTAGGGTAGATTCATGTACCTTAACAATTTTTATAATGTCGGTAGGTGATCTGTTAAATTCATGCAACCGGGAAGCAATCAGTAAAGCTGTATGGAATAAAAATATATACATATATAGATAAATACATATACACGCACGCACGCAAGTACAAAGTGCAAAAAAGTCTCAGAATAGTAAAATATTTTGAAAACAATATTTTTGAAAAATATAAAAATTTTAGGAATTTTGAATAACACATTCAAAAGTGTCAGAATTTGTTAAGTGTGATTCTGAATTAATTTCCGAAAGTTAAGATCATCAAAAAATTTTCAACTAATAATTTCTATTTTTCATGCCAAATTTTTTTAGTGATTGTCGAGATATCGATATGAACAGATTGATCGAACAGAAATCAATACTTTCTGGAGACAATTTTCAAAAATTTGGTTGTAATCGAAAATAGACCCTTAACATTATAAGTCGTTGGATTTATTTCTTCAGAACTTATCGAGTGTCATTTTTGTCAGAGGTTTCTATTTGAAAAATTGGCTCTTCCCCTTGCCTCACCTCCCAAGGTAAGTTCTATAAATTGGCATGGCTCGTATGCATAAATACATATTTATAGTATTCCAAAAATAAAACTATTATGAAAAAAATGAACATATCTTTTATTCTAATTGTTACAATTTAGTAAAATTACAGCATCTTGAAATCATCTCGAGACTGATTAGAAGAATAAAAAATAAATATTGCTATTTGAAAATTTTTTGATAATTATGATCTTTAAAAGTCTATTCAAGATCAAATTGATATGATATCACCATTAAATGGATTATTTAATATTTTGTTAATTTTTAAATTATGTCACTGTATCCTTTTTATTGCTTCCTTATAGAGGAAGTTTTGTTTTCATGACAAAATTTGTTTTCCAGTTTTTTATGCCAAATGTGTTCAGAATGTTCCAAAACGTCGAAAAATCATATTTTTTTCAAATGTCCGTATTTGTGTGTGTATGTATGTACGGATTGACTGTGCACTGCTCTAACTTCCGCAAATTTTAAGATATCTGACAAAATTTTTTTACATGAATAGAATATCATTAAAGGATGATTGGTATTGAATTTAGTGAGAATTGATAAAAGAGTTTACTTTTTATAAAATTTTGAACTTTCTGAAAAATATCTGTGCATGCTCTAACCACTGCAAGTTTTGAGATATCGGGCCAAATTTTTTAACATGAATAGATATCATTAAATAATGGTTGATATTGTATTTAATGAGAATTGATAAAAGAGTTTATTTTTTATGAAATTTTGAATTCTATTTTTAAATTTTTTTTAAATGTAAATTTTTGAATTTTTAAAAATATATTTTGTGGTATCCTAGGTGGTATGCAAATTAGAAACTTGCACATTGCTTCTTTATCTTTTTATCTCGCTCACAAAACTTCTTCTATGAGAAAGCCAAAATTGAAAAACCCGCTTGCTCTGAGGAGGAGCTTTGTGAACGAAATAAAATGATGAGAAAGCAATGTGCAAGTTTCTAATTTGAACGATCTTTTCAGAATATTTTGCCGTCTTGGTTTTTTTCTATCCAATTTTTAAAATATTTAAAACATTTTAAAAACATTGTTATCAAAATAAAAAAAACAAAAAAACATTGAGAGAGAAGGAAGAGGGAAGAGAGAGAGAGAGAGAGAGAGTGGAAGAAAGAGAGGTAAGGGGCAGAGAAGGGAGAGGAGGAGAGAGAGGGGAGAGGGCAAGAGAGAGAGGGAAGTGAGCGGAGAGGGAGGAGAGAGAGAGGGGGGAAGAGAGAGAGGAGAGAAAGAAAAATTGATTTAAAATAAAATTTTTTACCTGCACCACATAGACCGGATGGTCTACGACCAATATGAATACTGTCCTTGTTCATTCTCTGAAGTATTCTGGTGGCTGTTCTACCTACGGCATCAGTTTTATCGCCGAATTCAAGTTTCTGCGCAAACTTCTCGATGTATAAACAAGGATCTACATAAAACAGACAAAAATACATTTGTCATATAAATTTGTATTCTTTTCTTTATTTTAAATCACACGAAAAGTTTTTAATCTATTTCAGTCGATTCCCAATTCAGCGACTTCGCCACGATGTTTTTCTCGCCTTCGTCTTTTCAGAGTAAAAAAGAATTTATTACAAATTTCGAATTAAGATTTTAATTGTACTTGGTGTAGAAACAAGAAATATTCATGCCCTGTGCACATAATCAGTTTCATAGAAAATTTATTTTTCTATGAAACTGACGCACTATCATCTGCGTCTGGTTCTTACTAGCCCGCGATTATTTAAAAATTAAACTTGTGATTTTCTTGAAAGCCTTAATAATTTCTAAAATTTTAATTTTATTTTAACCTTTTTTCCAAAAAATCATTTTTTAGCGTATTGTACGTGTTTCAATCCATTATGAATATTACAGTTATATTGAGATTCTTCAGGGTATCTATTCAAATTTGATAAAAAATTCCATGATCTTCTAAATATTTTATTCAAAATTTCAGGTAAAGAGAATTTTTAAAGATTTTTTGTGCAAATTTCTAAAATAAGATTTTTTATTATACGCGTTTTCTAATGCTTTTTATTGAGGAAGGAAAAAACAGAGCCTTTTACATAAAGAATATGTATTGAATATTCAATATTTTGTTAAGATCTTGAATATACAGGGTGACATGCAACGAGCGCCCACTAAGTATACAGCGTTATTCTTTACCAAAAATTGAGTCGAAAAGTCCAGAATCATTTTTTTTATAACACTTAATAAAAAAGTTATTATTGAGTAAAGTCTTGCCAATCAGCGCCGACCCTTAGCCGGGTGCACGTCGGTGGGCCGCGCGCCTGGTAGTAAAGATGAACGCTCCGCCGCTACGGCGGCGCGGCGGCGTTTTTTCTTCGCGCATGCCGCTAGCATGAAATATTTTTACGCATCGTAATAATAGAAATAATCTTTTCTTAATTAAAAATCATATAAAATTCTTCATATAAAATATAAAATAACTCAAGAAATACTTAATGAAAAAATATTTTATTATAATGTTTTGAAAATGTTTCAAGAAGGAGTATAAAAAATAAAAGGGTTTCTATTAAAAAAAAATAAGGGTTTCTATTAAAAAAAATAAAGTTGACCTTGAAATAACCTTGAAAACCATTATCTACAAACATTCCTATAACATCAACTTATGTCCTCCTTGAAATACTGCAACTTTTATTTGAAACATTTTTCTCTAGAAACAATATTTTTGGAGATAAAAATTCGTCACGTTTTATTTTGTCCGCCCTGCAAAAATACTGTAAAAAAAAATTATTTCTATTATTACGATGCGTAAGAATATTCTATGCTAGCGGCGGAGCGGTTACGCACACTACCAAGCGCGCGGCTCATTGCGCCCGGCTAAAGGCGCTGATTGGCCAGACTTTACTCAATAATAATTCCTTTATTAAGCGTTATAAAAAAAATTAAAAAAAATGGTTCGGGATTTTTCGATTTATTTTTTAGTAAGGAATAACGTTATGTACTTCGTGGGCGCTTGTTGCGTGTCACCCTGTATAAACAGAGTCAGATATATTTCTAAACACATAATTTGTTTGGCTTGTTGATCGCTTACAATATAAAAGAAAAATTATCAGAGAATTTTTCAAAAAATTCCCCGAGTTCCAAAATAAAATCCCCCATTTTTTCAGGTACAAAGATATTCCTAAGAATTCCAGATTTTCCATATTTTTCTAGAGAGTAGACATCATATTTTCTTCATATTTTGGCTGTAATTTGCGAATTAGAGTAATTCACAGTTATTCCAACACACATACACACCTAACACGCACATACGAACACACGCACACAGAAACATTTTCATAGTTTCTCATAGACACAATAATCCGTTTCTTGAAAATATATATAAACATATAAATAGCAAGTATAAAATCAAATATCTAGGCCCAAAATATTTTGCTGATCAAGATCCAAAAAAAAAAACCTCGAAGAGAAAATAAAAAAAAGACGGAAATCAAAATTATTTATTTTGTCCTATTCTTAATGGAACGATTAGCTCTCATTGGACGCTTAATGGTTTTGATTATCCCAACTTTTTTTTCTTTTAGATAAAAACAAAATTCATTTGTGATTCTTCATTTCTTTGTTTTTACATCGCCTTCAGACTTACTTCGCCATTAATTCTCAGTTTATTTTAATTATGTCTATGAACAAGATGTCACGGTATTTTATTGTCTTTATTCTAAAATGGCAATCAAATAGTCATCTGTGTGCGTGTACCGTCCTTCTCTTTGTCGTTCGATATGTCTATCGACCGACGCGGCAGCGCTGGCAGTGGAGGGTGGCGGCAGTGATGCCAGAATGCCCACGCTAGCAACACGCAACCGTAGTGGAGGGGATACGCACACAAGCGAAAACCGTGTATATGTAATGCGCAGAGCGTTCTGCGCATTACATATACACGGTTTTCGCTTGTGTGCGTATCCCCTCCACTACGGTTGCGTGTTGCTAGCGTGGGCATTCTGGCATCACTGGGTGGCGGCTGGCGGCGCCTCTCAAACTCGAACAGCGCCTGTGTGCAAGAAATGGCGGCTGTATAGCGGACAACACACGGTGCTCTCGGACTCGTTCTGTGTCACACGCGCCGAGGACGAGTTACAACGCGACGAAAGATTAACATCAAGCAAACTTAACGACGATGGCAATGTCGAATTTGTACTCGAAGATTTCTACCAAGCCAATGAAGCGCTTTCAGGACAACATCGCAGTCAAACAGACTAATGCCTGGATGAACGGTGAGAGAGAGAAAGAGAGAGAGAGAGAGAGAGAGAAGAAAGAGAAATAGAGCGAAAGAGAAAAACCGCTTTGTTCGTATGTCGCGCGAATAAGCAAGTTTGCTATTTATATATGTCGCATCTGATTTCGTGAGTGTGAATTTTTATTGTTTATCGATCATCTTCGAAAAGCGTGAATCATGCCAAAAATTCATATTTGTATGTATGTAGAATGCACGGTAGTTGACATATTCTTCTCATATTGCTATTTAGCTTATATATGTATATGAGTTTATACAAACAGATGCAGAAAATGTTTTCAGAGAAAAATCCACAGATTTGCATAACCTGTACATAATTGGCTATGTGTTTCTAAAGCAGAAATAAATAAAAATCGATTTTAAGGATGTTTTGCTATACAATAGTAGCAAAAAACTGTCAAAATAAAAAAAAAACAAACATTTCTTACGTTTATACTGTTTGAAAAATCAAATAAATCCGGATTATAAAAAAGGATTAAAGTATCAAAATAATATGGTTTTTAACGTCTTCGTAAAAGAAAATAATTGTATTTAATATTTTTTCTAATTTATGACAAAAACTTTTGATCGTGAATATCACCTGAAATCAACTGCAAGAAACAAAAAAACGAGTAATTTGCAGAAAAAGAGAGAAAGAGAGATAATGTTTTTCTACAATTTTTTAATAAATAACTTTTAAACAAGTAAGTGAATCTAAATCAAGTTTTGCATAAATATTTATTAGAGTTTTCTTAATATATGTGAAAATTTTTATTTCGCTGGCTATGTTTTTTCTTTGTCAAATTTGTCAATAAGTGCTACAATACATGATCTTCCATAAGAATCAATAGTAACTTTAAACTTAAATAATTTTCAAACCATTAAGAGAATTATGTTCAGGTTTTGCATAGATATCCAGAAGAAATAGTAGTACAGTCTACGAAATTTTCATGCTTTTGTCAATGTTTTGACATATGACATATACATCCTTAATTGCTATCGATGATGATATTTCGATCTCAGATTTCAAAATTATGCAACTTTTGTATATATGTAACAAAATGATTCTCATATAGCATCGTCTTGTTAACTAATCAATTAATTATCGATTAGACTTTCAATATATCAATATTTGATAGAATACAATGTAATTTAAATATTGTCTAATAATAAATAATTAATGGCAGAAAATATCTTTTATCAAAATTTTAGCTTGTGAACAAAAATTATGAGTTAATTGAGATAATGATAAGAACTTTCTATATAATATTACATTAATATTCCGTTGTAATTCGTTATAGCGTCGTGAATTTCATCAACGATAGTCACGTCTCGTCGACGCGCTGCAAAAACAAATATGAAAGTCGTTCATTCGATTTCGCGTTAAGTATAAGAAATACATAAGTAAAACTAAGTAATTTGCGTCTCTTGATTCTTTCAATTAAATCATAAAGATTTGGACAGATCAATATTCATTCATCCATTGTACACATCCCTGCTTAAAATGTTGGATACAAAATGATAGAAAATTTGTCTATCATATCCTATGGTGATATTGAATCCCTTATTTCACATCTGAACATGAAATTTCGTAAGTGTATTGTATAATATATTATATATAGTATCATGAAATATGATTAAACTACATAAATATTCAATTTTTATCAGATTGTAACCATTATTTTATAAGCAGGATTGTTATGAAAAAATATTATAAGCAGTTTATCATAAAATAATAATAAATATGCGATGCAATATTTCCTATGATTGAGAAACATCAACTTATTATATAAACATTCATATTCTACATGGTTGAAAAGAATAGTATCATAAAATATGATTAAAATACATAGAAAGCCTATGTTGTGCGACTTCGGTACATGATAAAAGTCATAAATCAACATAGAAATTCTATCCATTTTTATAACATCTAATTATTTTCTATCAAACATTTTAAGCAGGAAGGGCTCATGCTAACACATGATGTTCAGTTTTT